ATTAATATTTATTAAATAACAATGCAATTTTTAATTTTTTAAAAAATTTTTCCAAAAAATTTTGGGTACCACTGTATCAATAAAGTTTTGCATCTAATGCCTTTTTTATAATTAAAAAAAATATTTATTTTAAACTTAATAAAATTTTTTTTCTTTTTAAATTCTTTAAAAAAAATTTAAATAAATTTTGCTTTTTTTTTTTTTTTATCTCATTATTATCAGTGGAATTAAAATTTGTTATATAGATTTTTTATTTATAAGAACAAAAAAACAAAACAAAATATGAAAATAAAATTGTAATACATAATTAGATTACATAACAAAAAAAAAACAAAAATTTTAAAAAATAATTATAATCCAATTTGATTATATAATAAAATTAATTTTCAGAATTTATAATATTGCTAATTAAATCAGTAAGATTATAATTCTTTAATTTTTTATTTTCATTATTTTTTTCAATTTTTTCAAAATTTTCTACAATAATAATAGGTTCTAATTAATAACTGATTTTTAAATTTATAAATTTATCAATATTAATAATATAATAATAATTATTATTATTATAAGAAATAGGTTTATTTTCTAAATTTTTATTAATATTTTTATTATCTTTTTTCTTCTTTTTAAAATTAAAAAAACCTTTACATCTTCATGCTTTCAAAAAGAAAAAAAAAATATTCTAAAAGCCTATTTCAAAAAACTGAAAAAAAATAAAAATAACAATTTTTAAAAAATACTTTGCCTATCCATCCATTTATTGTTACAATTAGATTATGACTTTTTTTGTATAACTTTGATTCACTTGATAGGAACCTGAACATCTTCACCATTCACTTCAACAATCGCAGTTTGATTATTGGATGTGAGTGATTTAAACATATCTTGTTAAAAAAAGGTCAGTTGTAGCTTTCTTTTTCTAGTTTGCTAATTCATATTGTGATCTGATACAATAGCAATTGTGGTACCAGCTTCAATTGTATTATTAGTTATTTTTTTCCTATGCACACTACCTTTCTAATATATTCTTGTATGATATTTCTCAAGTGATGTGTTTATGGATTGCCAAAGTTTCAATGTTTGTGAAATATATTCTTCTATCACTTTAGATTCAGCATTCTGAATGGTAGTTTTAGGAGCAATAGCTTGGATAGTATTCATAGTTTCAAAAGTAGTAACTTGGATAGCATTAATAGTTTCGGAAGCAGTATCTTGGATAGTATTGGTGGTTTCATGGATAGCAATTTGACTAATAAATTTGGAGGCAGCAGCTTGGGCAATAGTAATTTCACAGATAGCAGATTTGGAAATAACAGCTTGAATGGTGGTGATGGTTTTACAGAAAGCAGTTATATTGATAGTAATGATTTCATTAGTAGTGGTATTGATGGTAGTAGTTTTAGTAATAGTAGCTTTTGAAATAGTTTCTATAATAACATTCTTAGAAATATCTATTACAAAAAGAAATGTTTGATTAAATTATTTGTTTGTTAACTCCTTCATATTTATTTGAATATTAACAAACCATTTATGTTAGGAGTATCATAAACACAATGCATTTTCCATTCAAAAAGTGCTTCATATGATATACAACCATGTGCTGTGTGAACTGTTGAGTTATACGATATTACAAATATATTGATTATATTGATTTGGTTTTTTTTTTGTAGTTGGTTATCTTGATCTTAAAGTAACTTTGTAAAACCACAACCTATTGTTTGATTAAGTCATTTGATTTGTTCTTGTGATTGTGAATGTCGAAGCCTACCATGCCTAATTGTAATATTTAGAGTTCTACAAATCTGTGTGATTATATTTGTAACAAATTCCTTACCATTAACACTTTAAAGAATTTTAGGAGGACCAAGAATTTTGAAAATATCTTTAAGAAGATATGTCGCAACTGTTTTTGCTTCCTTGTTTTTCATTGGAACTGCTACAAGAAATTTAGAAAATATACAAACATATGTAAGCAACCATGAAAAACCATTGTTCTTCTTAGTGAAATCTTGGAAATTAACTAAATCAATTTGAATATGTTGTCAAGGACCCGATAATACTATAGATACTATATCAATTTTTTCTTTGATAAATGTATTTATAGTACAGGCAATACATTTGTTTATATATGCCTTACTTCTTCTTGTATAATTCCAATATGTTTTTCTGAAATTGCAAAATAAGTTTTATAATATTTACAATGGTTTGCTTGATCATAAAAGTGTTTTAATAATATAGTACATATGACTATATTATATTTAGGAATTATATAACATTTTTCTAATTTTACTATACCATCCTTTATAACTGGTTTAGTATAAAGAATTTCATTTTTATCAACTTCAAAATTTTTACAACGACAAATAAAATTGGATTTTATAATAAAGTTTTTTTTAATATTATTTGAAATAATTTTAATTGACTATCATTTGATATTCTTCTATTGTTTTAGGAATTTTAGGAATTGCTGGCATATCAAAATAAATAAACAAATTGAAAATTATTGAGTATTAAATAATTTAATATAGATATACTGTAAGTCACGTTAATTTCTGTATTATCTGATTTTATGTTTATTCGTGATATTAAATAAACTATAAAATCTATATTAAAAAAAATTATATTTCCAAGAGAACCTCTGGCCAAACTCATTGTTCTGTTTCTCCAGTTCTTTGCTACTTGTAAGTATAATTTTTGTTAACATGAATAATAAAGTGCATATAATTTGGTTTGTTATTGTAGTAATTGTTGTTGTTATATTGATATAATTTGATAGTTGATAAGATAATTAATTTATAAGTTGGTGATATAATTTTGTTTTGATTGTAGTTACCAAAACTAGTTTTTTTTATATTAATCATTGTATAGTGTTTTGGTTATATGAATTTGTTTTGATATTTGATAGTATTTGATTGGTTAAATTTGAAATGGTGATTAGTTGACAAGAATAAACTAATTATAGTTTTTTGATAAGAAATTTTTTGAATAAAAATTTTTGGATTTTTGTGATATAACATGTTATACTGAATAATGATAAAGAGTAGGTATTGTATATACTGCTGGCACTTCAAGTCAACAATATAAATAATATTAGTATAAGATTTGATTTTTTGAGATAAAAAGCAGCTTTTTAAGAACAGAAAATAATTATATAATAAAAATTGTTTTTTAATAAGAAGTATAAATGGGAAGAACTCCAAGAAAAATTTGTAAAAAAGTAACTATTATGGGCCTTTTTTATGCAATTCAAGATAAAAGCAAGGCCTATAAACTTGCTTTTTTCAGGCCAGAGATTTCATCCCAATGCATCAATATACTTTCCTAAATTCCTTGAGATTTCTATAGTGAAGGTAAAAGAAGTATAAAAAACTTTTGAGTATTAAAAGGCAAATATAAAAAAACTGTTTCTTTAATTTTGAAAAAAATTACTATAAAAGGAAATTTTTAAGAAAAATATTATGTATGGGAAAGAGTTTTTTGCAAAGAATAATAAAGTAATAATATTTATTTACTCTAAAAAAAAATTAACATATAAATAGTTTAATATTAAATAAAAATATTTTAAAGTTTATTAATTAATATTTTAATATATTTAAAAAAATTTTTATATAATTATATTCTTTATATGATTAATTTTTTTAAAAAAACAAAAAAATATTATATACAATTTTTTTTTTTTTTTTTAAAGTAGGTAAACATCATTTCTTTATTTTATTTGTATATAACAAAGTATACATCATAAAAGAAACAACATCTCTCATATGTTGATACAATGAGTTAAATGTTAGCTTGCCTACAGTAATCATATGACTAATATTGAAAAAAAAGTTTAAAACAATATATCTTGCCATGTGGCACTGAGTGGCTATAAATACCTACTTAGTATTAGGAGGAATGATATTTGGAAGAGATGAAATTAATTTTTGAATACATTTGTTATAGTTATAATTACATTGAATAAAAGAGTTAGTGACAATTGTCAATAGGTCTATGATGGTTTCGTTTTGGATATCATTGAAGTGCAAGTTTCTGTTAGAAGCAGTGTGATTTCTTTTTGATTTGGCTAAATTAGTGGTGTTCAGTAATTCGTTTGGTTTCCATTTGATACCTATAAGAGGCGAGGTATTGGCAGTGTTGCATCGTGGTTTCCAGATTAAGTTATACAGTTGGGTTAGGGATTCAGTTAATGCCTTGACCCAGTTAGTGGTATCTGTTATAGAGAATATTCTATCAGTGATGCCACATGACAGTTCCACGACTTGCCATATGTGAGAGATTGGTCTGGAGTTTTTGTCTAGATGAAAAATTTGGTTGATGTTGTTTATGATTTGACTGGCCTCTTCTGAGGCTTCAAGATATTTAAAGACATACTGGATGTCTTCAGTGTGGAGTTTATATCTTAGACAACACCTATTTGGATATTGATCAGAATGATGTTGATGAAGCATTTGATAGGTTGGGTGTGTTCCTGTGAGAAGTTTGATTCTAAACACTATTAGGTTGCTATAGCTGTTGTTGTGTACTCTTTTGATATTTTTATTGGACTGATTAATGATTTTTAAACCGTGTGGGGTATAATGCCATTTAAAAGTTTGGAGAACTGAGGTGCTTTCACAAATCATATAATTTTTAGTAATACTGAAGATTTTTTTGTACTATCTGATACTACTGCCTAGACATGTGTTGTTGATTAGAGAGCTCTCTGTGAAGTGTGATGGGTTGTTGCTCCATTGGATTGTCTTGTTTGTAGATGGTCTGGATTTAGGTTTGGTATATATGACTTCTATTGATTTCTGTTTCAGGACTTGGTTTATCTGCTGGATTAAGGGAGAAAAGTTAATTTTGACCATTCTTCTTGGATGAATTGTTACTGGTTGAAGGATTTTTTTGTTATTTCTGATTTCAATGGTATTGCACTGGGAGCTCCATTAAGTGATATTGAGTATCGCTAATAGAATATTGCCAGGAGCTAAGTAGGTATTAGAGAGTTCTATTTTGTACTCATTAATAATTAAATAGTTTTTATAAGATTGGATATGGTAGTGTTGGTAATGTCCCACTTCTTGAAGTGAAGCTCTAAGAGATGGGTTGTTGTTGATGTTGATTGATTGGTGAGTTTGTTTATTTCTGTATGGTGAGTTAATAGTTTCTTCAATAATGTTTAATAATTGATACTTGTTGATACTGAATGGATTGAGAAATATCCATAAAGTTGATGCTGTTGAGCTTGTGAACGTTATTCAGCAAAAGCCATATGATTTTGTACCAGCTGGGCATCTTGAACACCTGAGGAGGTTGTTAGTTGTATCTATTGTGAAATGCTTTCCTTTGAGCATTATTCCTTCTTGCACTAATGATCGTCTCTTGTAGATCTTAACTATTACGTTTGAGCCATGTATGAACCAAAATATTGCTCTGGGATTTGGTATTGGGCCATGTGATCCTATAAGATTTTCGCTATTTGCAAAGGTTTTGAACCAATTTGATTCTGGGCCAAGACAAATTATTCCTGTATGTGAGGCAAGTTGATGCCATGTAAGTTTGATGGTACTGCTAAATTTCAGTAGCTGATTAGTAAACTTCAGGTTGAGTGCGTTTGTTGTATTTATTGCTGTTTTTTTGGATTGGGGTTGTAGACCTGTGAATAGGAAGCAAATTGAGTTTTCTGCATTGTCCCAATGGAACATACATTCCATTGGACATATGTAAATCTTGAAATCTTTGGCTGTTCTTGTTGCATAAAGAATCCAATTATCTTGACTAAATTTCTCTAGGTTGTATATAGGGCAGAACCATATTGCCTTTTTCATTTGGATGGACTGAATGTTTTGTATAGTGTATTTCCTAACAGATGGAATGGCAAGTTTGGATATGAGGTTTTCTACCAATATGGTTTTTTGCCTTTCTTCTATTGCTGATAGGTTGAGACCACTTCGGCTGGTTAGTATTGTGTTGAAACATTTGAAAGAGATTCTGTAAGCTGACTTTATAAGCTTGTTAATTTTGGTTTGGAGCTGTTTAAGATTTGTTTAGTTGAGAAATGATGAGAGCAGGAAGTATTCAAGTTTTCCCATGATTACACAATCGTTAATTTGCTGCTTGATCTCTTCTTTTCAATTGCGTTTGGACAGCTCGTTAATAATTTGAGTTGATGTTTGGATGAAGGCTTTCCTGTTTGTCCTAAGAAATCTCCTGGGGGAAATTAGTGTGCCAAGATATTTCACACTCTCGTAGGGTTTAAGGATTTGGATTTGGTGATTTTCAAATTTGATTGTTTCTTGGGTGCCACGTTTAATCTTGATGTTATTAATGATTT